AGAAAACTCATTGTTTACAGACAGAAAATACAGATATAATAATACAGAATATGGATAGAGAGCATCATTGTTTACAGACAGAAAATACAGATATAATAATACAGAATATGGATAGAGAGCATCATTGTTTACAGATAGAAAATACAGATATAATAATACAGAATATGGATAGAGAGCATCACTGTTTACAGACAGAAAATACAGATATAATAATACAGAATATGGATAGAGAGCATCACTGTTTACAGATAGAAAATACAGATATAATAATACAGAATATGGATAGAGAGCATCACTGTTTACAGACAGAAAATACAGATATAATAATACAGAATATGGATATAAAATATCGTTTTCTTCATAGTTTAGTTACAATAGGAAGCACAAAGCCTTCTTAGAAAGGATTATTGTTTTGAGAAAAAAAAGTATCGTAACATTGTTTTTAAAAGAAAGAAATAGAGTTTATTAACGCTTCGCCTTTCTGAATTTATTTCAGGTTCGCGTGAATAAACTTACCACCAATTAACAAAGAAAAACCTAAAAAACAATTCGTAACATATGCATCTATGTTAACATTCGTACTGCCATGATGAAAAATCCAATATTACCGGGAAAGTGTAAAAAAAACAAAAAACATTTGTAGCATTTGTTTCCTTGGCAACATTGAAACTTTACCTAGTAAACGATCTAGAACCCTAAAATCAGAAACATATTCGACTGAATAACGTTCTATACAGACACTTCGATTCGCGGAAATTAATTTTCCTTCAATCTTCTTCAGTAATTACCCTGCCAGCTGAGAGATTGGTAAAGAATTTGTCGTCAAACATTTTTTTTCAGAAAAATATTGCTTAAGAGAGTTTCCAAATAGGCATTAGCGTGTATTAGTTTTTAGGACACTAATACTTGAAAAACAATTTATTGTCAACACATATCACCTTCTTTTCAGTTCGTGGCTATTTTTTTTGTGCAAAATATTTTCTTCCGAAACAACCAAGGATAAAATATTCCATTGACGACGACTAGATCCTTCGGACATCATCGTTCTCTCACAGACTCAGTTCGACTAGATCCTTCGGACATCATCGTTCTCTCACAGACTCAGTTCGAATAGATCTGTGAGAGAACGATGATGTCCGAAGGGGATCTAGTCGAACTGAGACACTCTGGTGTAGGTATAGAACACTTTCACATTCTGGTGTAGGTACGGAACACTTTCACACTCTGGTGTAGGTATAGAACACTTTCACACTCTGGTGTAGGTACGGAACACTTTCACACTCTGGTGTAGGTACACGAAAGAAGCTTTTTTCATAAGTTGTGTATGATTTTGTTTGCGGTAGGAAGGTTATTTTATTTGTTATGGAATTTAAAGAAATGCGTATACGACAAAACGACCACATTCTAAAATCCCCACATACAATTGTGTCGAACCTTCCGCGTTATACCAATGCCCCCCAGTGGTACAACCGTATGTCTGCGAACTTACAACGCTAGAAACGTAAAACATCACTACATTTCGCCTGATAAAGCTACGTCAGCGTAATGGCGTCTTGATAAAGCTATGTTAGCTTAATGACGTTCTTATAATGCTACGTTAGCGTAATGACGTCCTGATAAAGCTACGTTAGCGTAATGACGTCCTTATGATGCTACTTTAGCGTAATGACGTCCCGATAAAGCTACGTCAGCATAATGACGTTCTTATAATGCTATGTTAGCGTAATGACGTCCTGATAAAGCTACGTTAGCGTAATGACGTCCTGATAAAGCTATGTTAGCGTAATGACGTTCTAATAATGCTATGTTAGCGTAATGACGTCCTGATAAAGCTACGTTAGTGTAATGACGTCCTGATAAAGCTACGTTAGCGTAATGACGTCCCGATAAAGCTACGTCAGCGTAATGACGTTCTTATAATGCTATGTTAGCGTAATGACGTCCTTATAATGCTACGTTAGCGTAATGACGTCCCAATAAAGCTACGTTAGCGTAATGACGTCCTTATGATGCTACTTTAGCGTAATGACGTCCCGATAAAGCTACGTCAGCGTAATGACGTTGTTATAATGCTATGTTAGCGTAATGACGTCCTGATAATGCTACGTTGGTGTAGTGGCGGTTAATGCTCTCTTTAAAACAAAACAAAACTCGTTTTTAGCCGTTCCAAATTTTTTCTAAAATAAGTAAGACGGGTGAGTAACAAAATATTCAACATTTTGTAATACCATACGAAACTGTAATACCATACGAAACTGTATGTGAAAGTGGGCGTCGAACTGAGGCTGTGAGAGAACGATGATGTCCGAAGGATCTAGTCGAACTGAGGCTGTGAGAGAACGATGATGTCCGAAGGATCTATTCGAACTGCGACTGTGAAAGAACGATGATGTCCGAAGGATCTATTCGAACTAAGGCTGTGAGAGAGGTATGATGTCCGAAGAAAGTGTTCCGTCCCTACACCAGAGTGTGAAAGTGTTCCGTCCCTACACCAGAGCGTGAAAGTGTTCTTTACCTACACCAGAGTCTGAAAGTGTTTCGTACCTACACCAGAGTGTGAAAGTGTTCCGTACCTACACCAGAATGTGAAAGTGTTCCGTACCTACACCAGAATGTGAAAGTGTTCTATACCTACACCAGAGTGTGAAAGTGTTCTATACCTACACCAGAGTGTGAAAGTGTTCCGTACCTACACCAGAATGTGAAAGTGTTCCGTACCTACACCAGAGTGTGAAAGTGTTCTATACCTACACCAGAGTGTGAAAGTGTTCCGTA